GAGAAACTGTCATGATCTCTTTCCTGTTGATTTAAAAGTTAAGTTACAGCAGCATTTCGTTGGAACAAATGATTACTGAAACACATTAACACTTACTGACCTGAAAGGGACTGGTCCAACAGGAACTGGTGAACAGAATAAGACTGGTGCTAGCCTCTTAGCATAAATTAGTTCTTCTAGCAACTTTAACAGATTGCTATCAGAAAGCATCAAATAGCCCCAAGAGGAAAAGAAACACCTGCCTTGGACAACTCCCCACTCTGTAAATGGCAGGGGAGGAGGGGTGCTCTGTTGTACAATTAAATCTGAGTACAGGATTTCTTCATAGGACAGCAATGTCTTAAGGAAAATAATACATGTTAAAATTAAATCTGTTTCAGAAGGAGAATCTGTAGTTGTGGAAAGGAGAAACTGAAGTTAAAGGATTTTCTTTTTTTGAATAAAAATATAGAACAGGGCAGTTTATAATGACAAAAAGGTGAATGTTTTGGGGTACAGGAAAAATCACCCTTATTTATAGCAACATTAGTTGGGAATTTCACCTTACACAGCTTGTAAAGGCTCTGTGCAAAGTATCTTATCCAAAAACCTTTAGAACCTGAGACCAGGGTTCTCTATTGAATTACTCCTGATTTGCACTTGCAAAGATGGGAAGAGATTCAGATGTATTGTTTCAATGCTAAACTTTAGCCTTGAAATTCGAGGACACTACAGCAACAAATATTAAGCCCAAATCATTCCTGATAAGGGGCTGTTGCCACTAATAGGCTTTGTCTGCTTCACACTGATGCAATGAGTTATAGTTTGCAATCTTGGGGCACAGGGCACCTACATGTTGAGTTGCTCTCTTCCCAGCTTGGGAACAAAAAGCAGCCAATAAAGAGATTCAAACATTCACGGTCTGTAGTCATAACCAGGGATCCATGTTGTCTGTTTGCCATGGTAAAATGTGCATTTTACTCAATTTTAAGGAGGAAAAACCCAGATTTTCTCCTTTTTAAAAGAGAAAAACCAGGGAAATGAAGGGTTTCCCCTTGCAGGCTAGCAGAGTTCCAGCCTGCAAGGGGCTGTGGGGAATGGAAGGAGGCCGGTCAGGTAAGAGGTGCCATGTGCACACGCATGCTCACACATTGGCATGGCAGCCTGGAGAGCAGCTCCCGCAGATATGTGGGTGGGGGTTGGGACTGAGGCCCCCATAGGGAGGGAGGGAGGAGTTGGACAGGGCTGGGGATGGGGATGGGGCTGCTGCTGTCCAGCTGGGCGGTGCATGGAGCTTGGGGTCATGTGCAACTGCAGGGCCCAGGCAGGGAGCAGGACAGGGCCATGGGTGGCTCATCTGAGGGGCATTGGAGGGCTGGCTCCCTGCTGCCGCATGCACTCCTGAGGGCAGGGAGGGCACACGCTTCCCAGATCTGTGTGTGGGGGAGTGGGGGTGGGCTGCCCACCCTGCTACTGTCCCCATGGAGGAGTGGGGATGGGATGCCCACCTCTGCAACACAGTGGGTACATCTGGCAGGGCAGGGCAGAGCTGGGCCAGGCAGGGAAGTTCGGTGCTGCCATGAAAGGTGTCTCCTGCCCTCCCGGCAGCAGTGGGGAAGGCAGTGTAGAGGGCACCTTGCCATAGCTGTGCGGGGCTCTCGGTGGCAACAACACTGAGCTTCCCTGTCTGGCCCCACTCTGCCCTGCCACGCCGGGTCCCACCCTCTGGGCTGTGAAGGCCCTGGGGGAAAGGCAGCAGGGTTAGGAGCCCCGAGCCTGCAGCCCACTGCCCACTCTGCACACAAATTTGGGGGCCAGATGCCCCCCCATACCCCACCCCAGGAGTGTGTGCTGTGGAGGAGGGTCATCCCCCTGCCAGAGCCCACAACAAGCAGCCTGCACCTGCCCTGGCCATGGGTTCTGCTTCAGCTGTGCCACCTGTGGGGGAGTGGGAGCTCCACTTCACTCCACTGCAGCATCTGCTGCTTTTCACATGCAGCAGCTGGGGCTCCAGCATTGCTGCAGGGGTCAAGGGGGTATGGATCTGGGACCCTGGCCCCATGCCCTAGCAGCTGGGGCCCCCTCCAGCAGGGCTAGAGGGAAGGGAGTATGGGTGGGGGGGAAGGGGCTCCAGCAGGGCTGTGGGTTGGGAGTGAGAAGTAATGGCATGGGCAGGGCACCAGCATTTCCGGGCTGTTCAGCACCACAAAGCAGTGGGGGAGGACAACTGCAGCTGAACTAGCATCCTGGTGAGCGAGGGGGGTAGGGGGATCTCTGATTTTTCCATGATAAACTCAAAATCAAATGCCAACATTAATAGGTGTTTAGAATGTATTTAATTATAGTGACTGAGGCACTGGTAGGCATCCAAATTGCTTTAAAATTTATAAATATATCAACAAAAAATTGTGTTCTATTGATACCTATGTATATAGTGGTGTTTCACTTAATTACAGAAAAACGCAGATTTGGGGGATTTAATTTGGAGAATTTGCATTATCAGGAAGCTTGTGGTTTTTAAACGGAGAAACCAGGATCCCTGGTCATAATTTCCTAGCCAGTCCTCATGAAGCAAACAGCTCTAGGCTGCACCACAATTTTCAAGTACAGCTTCACTAAGCAGAGTGCATCTCCATATGTAGGTGATAAAGGCATGGATGACCATTACAAGGTCAGTATAAAATAGGACTGGCCATAATCCTCTCATCAGCAGTACTTAAAAAAAGAAACATGGTTTATTACTGTTACCCAAGAATTCAAGCATGGTTTAATTTAATGTGACATCTGCCCTACAACCATTTCAGCAAAAGGTAGGAATACATCCCAAATAAATAGCTCAGAAACCAGCTTGTTTCATTACTCAGCATAGTGCCCCATGTGGGCAAGTATCACTTCTATTTTTGTGAGAGTTGGTGTTCACTCATCCCTGTCAAAGCCAAGCACTAGGAAAGAGGTGAAGCTGTAGATGCTGATTTGATTAAAAGAAGATGTAGAGCTGAGTATTATTAGCACATTCATGAAATGACACCAGAGTCTGGAATATTTCAGTCTCTCCTGTTGGCTTTATATACATTACATAAGTATGGTTGTGGGTATTCAAAAACCCTGTAAAGGAGTGTCCTAAAAGCCGCTCCCTCGCACCACACCTCTACTTCGTGAGATCTTTAATGAAGAAGATGCACAGACAGATATGCCACCTGCATTGATTATGCAACATGCTTCAGGGAAGTCAATGCTGCCTAATGGCTAAAGTTATTTAACGTTCCTTATAGATCTAACAGACCGGAATGGAGAACAGAACAATAAATTATATTATATTGTATAGGCATATTCAAAGTTTTCAGTTAAGACCTAAGAGTACAAGGCTCTATCAATGCATTCACTTCCTCTACCTATATATAGTTCAGGATGCTGGGAGTCAGGTCAAGACTCCTGTTTACTTCAGTTGGAGCCCATGCATAATTGTGCATGTGACTTTTTTTGTTCTCTAAGGGTGGGTGGGAGGGTAGGTAGGGTAGAACTCAGGATTCTACAATTTGCATCCTGAGAGATCTTGCCCACAGGGCACAGTTAAGGAAGAGGGTTGAAGTGGTATAAGCCCAGATGCTGGGTTGTTGTGGAGGCCAAATAAAATGACAACTAATTTGTCAGAAGGCAGGGTAGATTTGCACTTTATAGATTAAGAAGGAGATGTACAGCATGAGCTTTCATGAGCTTGAGGTCACTTTATCAGATGCTGTGAAAGGACAGCATCTGGCAGCCATGCTATATTTGTTTCTTGATGTACTACCATCAGGAATCCTCAGAGTATACAATCTGGACACACCTTCTCCCACCAATTGATTTTCTGCATTCTGTTCCCAGCATAAACTGTGTGCAAAGGTGTGGGGGGAGCACTGAAAAGTCAGGGTGACTCTGGTATACTTCTGTGCTATGGAGCTTTTCCATAGACCTCTGCAGCCCCTTAAAAGCTCCATGCAGACTAATAGCCATATTGTGGAAGTGGTTACAAGGTTTTCTAGAGCATTCAAAATAGGCAAATCATTTTTAAAAAACATACTGTCTAGCTCACTGATTCTCAACTAGGGTGCTGTGGTTAGTCATGAAATGTTAGCACCGTTAAATGTGGGAACATGGTTCACAAGATAAACTCAGAGATTTCAAGTAGGAATTCATAATGTTAAAAAACATCCTAACCTATTGTGGTTTTTCTGAGTTCTATGCAACAGAAGAATTGTTCTATTATTTTTCTGTAGTCAAAAAAAAAAAAAAAGTGAAGGCTAAGAGCTGGGATTTTCTGAAGGGCATTTTCATTGGTCTAGCCCAACCCATAGCAGGTATATACTTAAATGGATTCCAAGTCGGGTTTGAAGACAGTGAAGGTGACAAGGGATTAAATGAGGTAGGTTTCTAACAAAATATTTCCTCAGCACTGTAAATATATCTTGTTTGTTCATTTAGCAAGCTACTGTTGATCTGAATGTTGTACTCATGGTCTTGGCTATGTTACATGACTGAGCACATAATCCCACAGGAGGCCTGGGAGGCATAAATGTGCAGCAAAATTGTACAGATAGTACTCGCACTTACAGCGGGTTACGTTCTTGGAAAAGGTGCTGTAAGTCGAAATGATGTAAGTTGAATATGGTTTTTCCCATAGAAACAATGTTATAATAGGGGGTTATGTTCCTGACCAAGGGCCTGATGCCCAACTGTTTATAGAAATGACCATAAACACCATATTTAAATCAACTATTTAATCAACTATAAATGATATACACTGTACAGTACAAAGCTTTCTAAAGTGTACTGTATATAAATAGATTAAACAGAGCAATGTAGTAACTAATCGCATAAAGGAACCAACACCTTCATCAGGGTTATGGAATTCAGAAGGGCTTCTTTCTCTTTTATCAGCCATTTTTAAGGACTAAATATATATAAAAGCTTAACGTGCACTAAGAATCCAAAGAATACAAGAAACTTGCATGCTGGAACACATCAGGAAGCAGAATGACTGGGTCATGTATGTACGTCTGTGCGCCGCCATGATGCCGTAAGTACGAGGATCCAGTGCTGTAAGTAATAACATGGGTGTAAATGGCGGAGCGCCACAAGTGCAAATCACCATAAGTCGAGGATATTTGACATTTTAGGATGTGTGGATAGGAGAAGCACTTAGACAAGGTGTTCCATCTCTGTGGGTCATCCACAGCCCTTACAACACATTATTCAGTAGATACTTTGAAGAGCAGATACTGTATAAAGAAGAAGCTGGACATAAGTCAGTACACAGTCCTGAGTTTTAGAAGCTTTATACTGTAAAATAGCAAAGGATAGATAAAGAAAATGAGGACATGAAGGTAATGACAGATGACTTCCCTGCTATTCTAGTTGATAATAAAGGGCTGAAAAACCAAATTGGTGACCTGGAAAACAAGATCAGATTAAGGAATGTCAGATCAGCGGGGGGATTCCTGAAGGCGTGAAGGTAGCTGAAACAGATATTTTTGTCCAAGAAAATGGTGGTGTTGGAGTTGAGTAGGAAGTATTTGGCTTTTATTACGGTATGTGCATTTGTTTTTGGGAGGGACAAAACCTCAAAATCCTGATTTATAAATTGCTTAAGTATAAACAGCACTGAAAACATCATCTCTAATAACACTGAAATTATTTCAACTGTATCACCAGGGACATCCAGATATTAGGAGCTTTGGCCCAGATCTTGAAGGGTATTTAGGTGCTAACTCCCATATGTAATGGGGACAGTATAGTAAGTTCAATATAAATTAGACAGCATAGGGAAACAAGGAAGATGTGCCATAGCTCAAAAATATACCCCTTTCCTCATGCTGTAAGACTTGGCTACTAGGAAATAAGACAAGAAACACACAGACCTGTTATACTGGTCAGGAAAGGAATATACAGAACACCGTACTGAGCTTTGCACACCCATGTTTACTGGTTACCCATTCAGGAAAGAAAATGGCTGTTGACAGCAGAAAATTAAGAAGACCTGGTTTCAAAATACCATGATTAAAGATTTATGTTTAAATTAGCCAAATAAGTTCTTGACCAGAGCTGAAGAAAAATTGTGCAATATATACATTTTATTCAACAGAATCTTCATCATTTAAGGATCCTTTGAAATAATTTTAAACCACTTTACTGTAAAAAACAAAAACAACCCCCCCCCTCCCCCCAGAAACAAAAACCCCCCAAATCACTCTCACTCACACTCTCTCTCTCTCTCCTCTCTCTAGGCTTTTGGTTAGTTTTCCCACCAAGTTGTCTACATGCTGACAGCCTATTCCTTTGTATCATGTTTCAGTTTTGTTTCAGTCCTAGCTTTCTGACTCCATATTTGTATTTCTCTGTTCCTTATATTAGTACTTTGTATGCTATAGCTTGCTAAAAAAATGCAGGTCTGTACAACTTGGCTTTGAACACTGAAGAAGGCAGAGTAGAATGGCACCTTAGGCCACGTCCACCTGAGCATGGATGTTTGTTTCCCTGGGGACAAGAAGCAGTGGCACACCTTGTGCCACTGCTAGTTGTCCCCAGGGAATGCCTATGCCACGCACGCTCTGGTGCATTGCAACTTACCCCAAGTAGGGTAAGGAAGGCTGGAGGCAGCTGGTCCCAGCAGCCTTACCTGGATTCCTGGGGGCCTCCTGGGGCTGCAGCAGCAATCCTGCTGCTTGGAGCCTAGACAGCACCCAGAGCATGACTTTGGCTGGCCAGGCTCCAGTTTTGAGTGGTGTGCGCTGCCCTGCTTTTTTTTTTGTACTTGTTTTTGACCCCTGGATATTCAACCTCTTTTCCTAAATAGTAAATGCTTACAGCTGGCTATCCAGGGGTCAGCCCTTCTCTTAAGAGAGGACTAGCAGGACACCAAGCTTATTTCTTATGTTCCCTACTGCAAGGTTTTTGCTGCACCTTTAACAATTATTACTTGAGAAGCCTGCTTAAGATTAATATGTAAAACTTATAAATTTTGTACAATTTATTACTCAAAGTCTGGACTTGCAGTGAGCCCTACTGCTGGCCTTATACAGTCACATATGAATATTATTATAAACAATTTGTTTACATCAAATAGCTTCCGATCTGTAGAAACTCACCTCACCTTTCTCTTCCTCTTGGATGTAAATCCAATACAGTTGTCAGAAAGTGATCATAAAATGTTAAAATAGATTACTGAGACAAAGCCAGTTAAAATAATTATACAGGTATTTGAGCTAAAGGAGTATTTGAGTTAAAGAAGAATAAACCCCAGCTATAAGCATTTAGTAGGGCTGTGCAAAACAGCAACATTTTGTTTTGACTTCTGTTTCACCGAGACAGTGTTTTGTTCTGAGTTTTGTTTCGTTTTGAAGCGCTGTTCCATTTTGTTTCATCAAAACCATTTCGCCGTTTTGACGTTTCTCCCATAGGCTATAATGGAGAAGCATGAAACTGCCTATAATTTCATCATTTCTTGCCTCATTTAGATGAAACTTGTGGGGATGGCAGCCCCTTTTGAGGCCATGAAGCTTGCCAAGTTTCAAGGAGATAGGTGCAAGGGGTTCTGGGAAACTGCACCTCAAGTTGCTAACAAGCAAAACTCATGTCACTTGTGCGTGTGTTAAGGCGCAGCAGGGTGAAAACTGCAGGCATAGTAGCCCCTAATGAGGCCATGAAGCCTGCTAGCTTTCAAGAAGATAGGTGTAGGGGTTTCTGGGAAACTGCACCTCAAACTGTTCAGAGCAAAACTTGTGTCCCTTGTAAGTGTGAAAGCATTGAGAGAGCTCAGTTCAGACAATGCATTTTATGCTGTTTTTTTCTGCCCCTCCCCGCAAGCACTGGGATTGGAAGAGACTTCAGGGAAGGATCACAGCCACTGGCCAGCTACGCAGTCAATATGAGAACAGTCTTTCCCCCTTCCTCTCCTTAGTTTCTCTTTAGCTGCAAGCAAGCGCAGCTTAAAAATTTGAAACATTTCAAAACTTTCAAAATGTTTCGACTGTCCTAATTTCATGTCAAGGCTCTTTTGAAGCCTTTTGTTTTGACCTCGCTGTTTCAAGCTTGAAACGAGTCGAAACAGCATTGAAATAAAACAGCTGGCGAAGTTCTGCACAGCCCTAGCTAGCATTTAGGAAAGGAGGTTAGACTCTGTAAGCATAGTGACATAGTTATATTGTAGCATGTTGCCTAGGAAAGTCTTAGGAGCAGAAAAAATAAATTGCTTTATAGAATATAGATTTTAGTGAAGCTAAAAAGTTTGGTTAGGTTAGAGTCCAAATAGGCCTGGAATTGAACAGGCAAATATTATGAAGCAGTATCATGAGAACTGAAAGCAGGGCTCTGCTGATGGTTTGAAGCTTTCAGCTCTGAGAGTCTGGAACTGATAAAGAGTGTGCCCTCGGAAACTAAAAAAGCCACAGCTGAAGAGCTTTAGACACAACATCTCTTAGGTCCAGGTGTAAATTGTATTCTCTTTTTAATGGTTGGGAGGGTAATGAGACACATTTTATATATTTGACATATCATTGTTGCTTATTAATAGGTATACTCAGCCAAGTAGCTTAACTAATGGAAAGAAAAAGTATATAAAAACAGATTTTGTCTTGGGATTGGGATGTTTGATTTGAAGTGCATCCTGGCACTCTGCCAGAATCCACTCATCCATTTGCTGTTTGAACTGCTGGATTAATTGTGCTTTGATAAGGTGGTGTGTTGCTTTTATGATCAGTTATTCATTGGTTTTTATGATAACCACATAGAAATCATAACTTAGAAATAAAAGTTATCTAATAAAGATTTACTGAGAATTTCTTAAATATCAGCTCTGTCACTCTCAAGTCTTTCAAGGTCTTAAAAAAAAAAAAAGAAGAAAAAAACCCTTTTTAACCTGAGTCCATGCTAGTTGAATTCAGTGAGATGACAGCAGCATAAGCACTTTAACAGTGAAAGTGAAAATAGTCAAATTGGCAGCAATCATTAATATTTTGGGGGCATTTATGTTTATTTTGTGCAGAAAAAGCTTAATTCTATTTTCATATCAGTGCAAATTCTAGTGCTATAAATTTAATCGCATCACCATGAGATCAGAATTGCTGGAGGAAAAAATAAGCCTATGCTTATGGCACTAGACAGGAATTTGGAAAAATCAGTTTCATTTCCCATACTCCCACAGATTTTCTGTGTGAATTTGGGCAAGTCACTTAATCTCTCTCTGTGTCTCAGTAACATATATGTGTGACGTGTCTGTCTTTTCTTTTAATATGACAAGCTCTTAGAGCAGGATGTGTCTTTTACCGTGTATATGAAATGTGCCTGGTACAAAGAGATGCTGTCTGCACTCGGACCTTGAGATCCTACAGTAGTACCAGGAAGTTGCTCCTCTTTCATTCTGGGGACTCCAAGCAGATTTATATTCTCAGCGGTTTCTTCAAGCTGAAATAATAATAAATTCAAAATCAATAACAGGGCCAGATTATTCACCCCTACTCAATCCTTCCAGCTTTTATTCTCCCATATCTTTCTTTACATAAATAAAGTCTGAAATACTGTGTGTCTTTGGGCTGGCTATGTGACTAGCAAGAGCTTTTGAACAGACCAGTGAGTAGCAATAAAATGTATCACCTATTAGGTTGAGAAAAGTATTCAGCTATGCCCAGGTAATGACACAGAATATAAAAGAGGAGATTCTTTTCTCGCTTTCCCCTGGAAAAAGAAAAATACTCTTTCATTTTCTTGGTATGGCCTTAAACCTCTGCTGGATTGCTGCAGACAACCAGGATTCTCGGGGAGAGAACCCTGAACTGGCATGAAAAAAGATGACCTGTTGGATTAGGCACAAGTCAGGACTAGTGGGGAGGGAAAGA